AGTGTCGCTGACCTGGCGGGACACTTGGCAGACACGTCACCTCCGGCGAGCCACGCGGGCGTCTCCGGCGTCGAAGGACTAAAACAGCAAAAATTTTTCACTTATGGGACTAGTTTGCGACAGACTCCACTTACGGAACTAAAATGATAAGAGGGTCCAATTACGGGACAATTTACCCTTTATTATTTCATTTTACTTAATTAGTTTTTTTTTTTAATTTGATAACTGTATTATTATTAATGCAATTGTATATAAATATATATTTTCAAAAGTATATTAAATTGATTTGATTTAAACAATTTATTTTATATATAACAATATAAGTATATAATTGTATAGAAAAAATATATATATTATTTATAAAAATTATTAAGTTAGTATATAATTTAATATAAAAAAAACATGTACTTAGCACAGATTACACACTAGTACGTATATATATTTGACAAAATATTATAATTCATGCATTCACGTAATTTTGAAGTTTTATTTTATTTTTCAATAATAAATTTGAATAATTAATTAAATTTTGTTAGAATAACAAATAATCTAATAAATTCAGATTTATTAGATAATAAATAACAAACATATGGATAAATGATAGCCAGAAATCGCATGCGTTAAATATTCATATTATTTGTGATATTTGATTAATTTTGATTAGATTTTACCTGATTTGAGTATATATTATTTATTTATGATTTGCAACAGAAAAATAATAAAATCGGTAGAATTTGAGGGAAAAGAGAACAAAAAAACCCATGACCTGAAGAATTGATTAAAAGGTCCAAAGTCCAATTGTGACAAAATTAGGACAGATATAAAGGAAAGAAAGAAGGGGGAGGCGCCATATACCACACTTTACATGCCAAGGACGAGAACATCGTGCAGAACAGTCCCAGGGAGAAACCGCGCAAGGGCAAGATTTCGAGTTCTACCCCTACCAACATCATTCTCAGGCGATGTTTATCTTTGCTTTCTTTGTTCTTCCTCCTATGATTAGCGAGTAGATCTATCTTTCATAGTTTAGGAGTGAAAAACAACTTTGTATGGATTTGGGAGATTAGACTTGTTTTGATTTATGATATTTCTTTGGTTCCTAAGTATTTATGTGCTTTCTGATTTCTTTGATTTATAATCTTTATTTTAGTTGTGTATTTCAGCCGAATATTTCAATTGAATTGAAGATTGACTGCTAAACTGAATTAGGTGTCCGTAATTGCGTTTGTTCAAGTAGCAACTAGGGGCAGACACCACTGGAAAATCACATAATTAATTTTAAACAATTCACATTGGTGATGACTCTAAATATAAACATATTATTTGCTTGACAAAACTACGTATTACTTGAATTTCTGTATAAAAACTATCACAATAACGGGTTAATGGCATACTTTATTGATCTATATCGCTTGGCATGATCCAGAGTTGTTTTGTTGAGATTATTAAAAATTTTTGCCCTTTTAAGCAGTGTTTTGGAGCCAGAAAAGCTGAGGCAGATGCCACAAGCGACAATTATTTCCGCTTGCAAGCGGTGATTCCATCGCCTAGAAAAACTAAGGCAAGAGAGGCAAGCGGCAGCCTCTACCGCTTGCAAGCGACACTCCAGATACCCACCACTGTAGAGCGACGGTAGCTCAACTCAAATATTGCCTAAGTGTCCCAACTGCAGCGGTACAACCATTCCACTAACAGCCATCACAAGCAAGCCCGCTTAACTGCGCTGATGCCCTCTAGTCATCCGGCAAGCGAGGAAGATCTGCGCCCTTACAAACCCATGCAAGCAGAGCAAGCACACTAGGAGTTATGACCAGCAACTGCTTCAACAGAACAACCGTCATTAACTACCTAACTGCCTAGCGGTTGAAACTACTTTGTAACTGCTTGTAACCGCTACTTCTACCTGCTATAAATAGGGCCAAATATCTGTATGTAAATATACTTTGACTGGAGTATACTAGCAATTATTTTCATCCATTCTAGCTATCTTCCTATTTCCAGAGAGCTCTAACTCTGTAAGGGAGTTCTCCACAGGAATGGCCAAGGGGGTGGGAAATCCCCTTCTCCCTTGGCCACTACTTTACTGCTTACTTAGTGTAGTTTATTGCTTTAAGTACAGTTTTTTAGAATTAGAATTTCCAACTTTACTAGTAAGTAATGAAATATCATTCAATTCTTCATTTTCACTTCTTCCAAACTTTTTCACACTTATATAAATCCTAATTTTAAAGAATTTCACTTCACTGGTTTAGAGCACAGAGAAATTGATTATCCAAGCCTTGTCATTTTTCACAAACATTTTCAAGGTAATTCAATGTAGTTAAGTACGTGAGAGCCTTGTCGACCTGCTTAACTACTGATTTAAATTCAAATTTGATGAAAAAAAGGTAATAGAAGGGTAAAGCCACTAATGATGCAGAATTTGGGATAATTAATGGGGCATAGACGGTGGTCTATTAGGTCGCAAAAATCCCTAGTGATAGTAGGGTTTCTTTCTTATAAGGTTCCGATTCTGGGTGTCATTGAAGTTTTGTTGTAAATCCCTTAAGGTCAAATACCAGTGATAAGAATTCTCTATAATATGGTTTATATATTTACATCATCTCCTCTCCCCGCTTTCGTATGTCCACTTAAACACCAACACCGCTCGCTCATCTCATCCAAAAAAACCTATCAATTAAGTAACGCACAGTTCAGACACAATACATCTCCTTCACTCCCTACCGCTCAATATATATATAAATATATACATTGTGCCAACCGCTCATGTCCCGCTCGCTCGTCCATCACTGGCATCTCACTGCTCACCTCTGCTCCGCTGCCACCGGTCACTTTTCAAAATAAGTCACAATGTTCAAATCTTTTTACCTTGTATTTTCAAGTTTATACCAAAATTGTTGAATCCAAGGTCCATTAAATTAGAGAACCTATCTGGAATATCTTTCAAAGTTTGCTTGCAACCTTGACATCATATATAATCGAGCGTAATTTTTTTTCAAGAGTGTTTATCATCCATGCTATATAATAAGTGAGTTGTTTGTCCACCAATCTTCAAGATCTAAGGATGCATCACTAGGTTGAGGAATTGTTCCATTGACAAATTCAAATTTTCTCATACCCAAAGTGCTATACGAAGGGATCAAGACAACTCTTCGTATTATTTCATTTCATGACAACATTAGTAAGGAACAATCTAGGATTATCACAAGACTTGAGAAAAAATGGAGATATCATTTTTCTCTAAACATCATTGCTTTCTTCTATTTCTTTTTTCCTTTGTCACTCATGATAAAAACACAGTAGAAAATCATGCTTTGATACTATAATAAAATTCTAAAGGTTAAAAAACGATATTGAATCTCATTTTTTGTCTCATCCATCATGAATATATAAAATTTTTACAAATTATAAGATCGGCATAGATACTATGCTGAAATACATAAATCAGCATGTTTGGGATTAATCTCATACCTTAATCTCATTTAATATCTAATAACTAAAAATTTAATATAAAGATATATATATAATTTTATAAGAATCAGCACTGCTGAATTTAAAAACAACTTCAGCACCGGATCTTCTTTCATATAAGATAAGGCTAAAAGATCTTCCTAAATCTTTTCCTACTTAAAATACAAACATATTTATTTTAACACCCAAAATATAAATATATACATGTCTTACTAACAACGTTAATAATAACATGGTTGAATATATTAGCTTATTCGTAGTTTTGCATTGAATTGTACATATCTATCAAATAGATTTGATGAATATGACTTTGTATGCATTAAGTATATATATATTGCTCGCGGAAGCCAATTATTGCCCTTATCACATCACCCATACATACATATATATATATATATATATATTGTGGGGTAACATTAATGCACCCATTACTATTTATTTGAACCTTGTGCACAAACTCTCACGAAATAATTTGTCTCAAAATAAAAGACACCGGCATTATCCGGTCATAAAAAAATATTAATCCTTTCTCCGGTAAGGGATAACTTTGTAGTGTGGGGATGAACTCGTGACTGTGAGGTCATAGGTTCAAATCCCGACGCCTCCACATCTTGTCTGCCACACATGGTTAGTATGACTTGCTTTATCAGGCCTAATTTGTAAACTATTAGATTCGGTCAAAAGTTTATCCAGAGTGCACCCAAAAGATAGCGACCGTAGATTCTCACGTTATAAAGAAAAAAAATACTGAACCATTTGTCCGATAAGGCCAGGATGATTTGGTACCACATATTTTGCCGTCTTAATATTTTATGATTTAATAATCTCTCTTATTTTAGGCCTTCATTATTGTATGTACATTTCATACAACCCTTATTAACTTAACTCCGGAAAACACAACATTATGCTGACTAATTTCAATAAGCACATTATAAAGATATACACAACGCGTAGTTGCTGTTGAAATAACTTGTGTTATGTATATCATTAGCATATGTCATTTATGTATGGTGTTGTGCATGCTTTTATATAATGTGTTGAACTATGACATTCCTTGTGTGAATCGTTATCATTTACTATAAGTTTATATGCTATATTTATATTATATTAACATAAATTTTGTATTACATGTTTATTTGATTATATATTGTCTAATTATATTTGATGTGCTGTCAGCACCATGCAGAATATGATGATTCAGCATACTAATATCAACCATTATATATGGGCATGGGTAAGCTGTTAATCCGGTCAAGTCAGTATAATACTGATTTAACCGGATCTGCATATGTCATAGGGTTGATTATGATATATTTATACATATTTTAACATATTTATAATACAATATATATTATATTATAATTCAATATATATTATTTTATAACACAACATATGTTGATTTGGTCAAATCAGCATTATACTAACTAGACGTATAAACACATGATCTGCAACCCTTATATACATATATATATATATATATATATATATAAATGTAGGTATTTATATATAAGGAAATGAACATACAATAATGAGCAGCCTCTCAAACTTGATGAAATTAAAAGAAGTGTAACATTACAAAGTGAAGACACAAGATTGATGCATGGATGACCATAAACATACAGATCCACCTGTGGTTTACCTTATTCAAGATTCACACACCAAGTTCTTCTCTTCTACAATTTTAAAAAGCATAATAGTTTGGCACAGATTTGGGTTTCATCTTAGTTCTGTGGCTTGGCTTGAGCATCAAACTCCGCTTTCTCGGCGGCACTGCAGCAGCGGTAGCCGCAGCGATAGCGGCAGCCACCACCCCAGCCTCCGCGCCGAGGGTATCCTCCTCCATATCCACCACGGTAGCCACCGTAACCCCCGCCGCCACGCCCTCCATACCCTCCCCACTGGTCTGTTTTCTCCTTACCTGAGAGTTTCAATAACATTTAAACATAAATCTGATTTATACTTACTTCACTAATTAATATATATAGTCTCAATGTATCGATCAAAAGAAATCTTAACCCTAATATACTCACCTGAGTCGGTTTCAGCCGAATCCCGTGCCGTCGCTTCCGAGACAATGAGGACAAATGCAGCCAAGAAAAGCACAAGGAAAATAATAGATTTAGAAGCCATTGTTGATTTCTTAAGACTTGCAAGTGTAATAATATATGAATACTTTGTAGTAGATATTCGATCTTGGATGGAAAATGTGCTTCATTTGGGGTTCCATTTATAGGCAAATAATTTTTAGAAGATGATGAGATGAGAGTGGAGAGTAGGGACAATAGTTTTTGGCTGTTGTGGTGTGCAATGAATGATAAGGAGCCCACACAATATTGTTATGAACAAGAAAATTAAATAGTTCATTGCATTATTCAGTATCAAGTTACTTCACTAGCTATATATAGTGTCTACTAAGAAAAAAGATGAATGAGTTTAGTAACTTTTAATCTCAACTGTGTTGAGTTAATTATATTTGTTTCTGATTTCATATGATTAACATTTTAAGTTTTGCATGAAGCTCGACATGAATTAATTAATTTGGAATCATACTTTGTTAGGGTAGTGTAGTATGAGGTATAGAAGGTTATTCACAACATTAAGCTTGTGTGTTAATAAGCTTTAACTTTGCCGTTATGGGCTTTTGGATTGTAGACCAACCGACCATTTGATAAATAATACTCCCTCCATCCCCGATATTCTATCATGTATACTATAAATAATGAATTTTATAAACGATATAATTAGTAAATATAACTAATAAATATATTAATAAAAGTAATTATACTATAATACAAGTCATTAAAGATTAAGATAACTAATCAAATTAATTAAAATTAAAGAACATGAACATGTGACGTGGGGCACCGGTTGTAATAATAATGATAATAATACAACGCAAGTCTTTTTTTTTTTTTTAATAACGTGGGAACCCGCAGCCGCTACCCGAAAGTGATACCGGGTAAACTTCCGACCGGATCTAATACTCTGCAAACTAAGCCCGACAGACAAGTCACACTAGGCGAACCATATGTGGCAGTTGGACCTGGAGGCGTCGCGTCGGGAATGGCTTATATATGAATGATTTTGGGAGTTAGACGGCTTCTCTTATTTTGTTAATGACAAGTTGTATTAATCTTATTTCTAGAATTCCTAGATTGTTTTGGCGCAATGTTAGCACCTTTTCATTTGATGATAACATACATATATATATATATATATATATTCTGTCTTTTTATATTTGTGTTTGAAATTATAAAATTCACATAGTTATTTCAACATTTTTTAGACATCCCGTATTATTAAGGGTATCAAATCAGCTTTTTTGTTTTTGATTTCATATGAAAAAAAAAATTCATTATTCAACCAACATAATTTTTAATAAAAATACCAAATACATAATTTTTAATAAAAATATAATTCTTTTAGAAAAAATCAAATTAAAAACTTTCTGAACCAAGAGTAAAATAAAAAACTCAATTTCAAATTTAAACCAAGGAAACTAAATTTTTAAGTTTGTAGATATGTATATATATATCATTATCCTTATTTTGGGCTTATTTCTTTTCAAATTTAGGATTTCAACTCTATAACTTCTTATAATTTTATTGATAATAAAATTTTTCATATTTAATAGGTAATTTCTCATATTTTTTACTATTTCAATTTTAGTGGAAGGGCGTAAAATATAAAAATAACAGATATCTTTATTATATACAATATGTGCTATTTGAAATAAAGAAATATATTATTTGTACATAATTACAACGTGTGTTGTATAAGAATGGTGTATTCATTTTACATTTTATAGGATTTTATTGGATTTTAAAAAATTTATAAATTTATGTGATTTTCTAAATCCACATGGTATACGTGGATTTTATTTATTGGTTTAAATGGATTTTTATAAATTTGATTGGATTGTTTATAGATTTATATGAATTTTATAAATTTTGAAATAATTATTTTTATTGATATATATAATTTGTATAAATTTATATAAAAAAAAAACACATTTGTAAATAAAAAATTCAAATAATGGAATAAAAATACAAAAAAATGTAATAGTAAAAAAAATACATTAAATTATTCATTATTTTCATCTTCATTCTCGTCATCTTTATTTCCATCACCATTATACCCCGACCTCATTTCCCATATAGTATTAGCAATACTCATTCTATATGTATTAGCTTCCATTCTTTATTGTAATTCACTTTGAGAAAGAAATTTTAAATTGTCATTTTTCACATCAAGATGCGGAGAATCTTCATCTTCATACACAAGCAAACACTAACTCTGCTTGTGTTTGAAATGAGAATGGACGAACGGTTTTAAAAATTATAAATCGCGATTTAAAAATATCAAAAATTCTCTCAATCACATTTTTTAATGATGCATGACGAAGATTGAATAACTCACTTGCATTTTTGGGATGACGACCTTGACCACCAAAATCTTTTAAATGATATCGAACACCACGTAATGGAGCTAAAAATTGACGTCGGTTAGGAAATACACAATCCCCAAAAAAATATTTACCTAAAAATTAATATTAAAAAATAGTTAGTTTGTCACTATTTAAAAAATATATAGATATATAATAAAAAAATATGTTATCTTGAGGCACTTGAAGTCCATTTCTTCATGTTGCATCATTTAAAAGTGTTGAATCATGTGTTAACTCTTCCCAACCACTAAGCACATATATAAACTGCAAATCAAAATTACAAGCAGCTAAGATATTTTTGATTGAACACCATGACGATTATGAAAACTGCTTACTTCAAGACCTATTACCTTTGCCGGAATATGAGTTCCATCGATAGCTCCGATGCAATCCTGAAATAAATGAAAACTTATTTTAAAAAAAAATACTACAATATTAAATTTAGGTTATATATAATATTATTAAAAAGATTCATACCTTAACGAAATGGTTAAATCTTGTATTTTCTTGAATTTTAGCAGACACCCTGTAGATGGCTGAATCATCAATTATGGTACTATAGTGTTCAACGCCTTTAAGGTTTTGTTGAAGTTTCGATTTGTAGCAAAATGCGAACGACCAAATCTTTTCCGAACATTACCATATCGATCGTTGTGTCCTACAATGATCAAGAATGTTGCCACTATTTCTTCTACAGATATGTATTTGGTATCTTCCAAATAAGTTTTCTCTCTGATGATAGTGTATAACTTTAGAAATGCATCTGGATATATCATATACAACTGTCGAAAACTTTGTGGATCTCCTTCAATCTTATCACGTAAAAAATAATATTCATTTTTTGTAATTGGTCGTCGCTTTAAATGAGCTCTAATATGTTGAGATGTTATAGTAATTTTTCCTAATAAAATAATCACCACGTTAATTGCCAACATTAGGAGCCGGGTAAACTGTTTTTTTAGTCCCGTAACTGGACCCTCTTATCATTTTAGTCCCGTAAGTGGAGCATGTCGCAAACTAGTCCCATAAGTGAAAAATTTTCGCTGTTTTAGTCCTCCGGCGCCGGAGACACCCGCGTGGCTCGCCGGAGGTGACTTGTCCGCCAGGTGTCCCGCCAGGTCAGCGTCACCTGGCGGACACGTGGATTTATTTATTTTTTTCACTTTTTTTAATTTTTTTAAAATTAAATCAAATTAAAAAATTAAAAGTATATAAATAAAATTAAAAATAAGTTTTAAAAAAAATTTTAAAAAATAAAAAAAATAAAAAAAATCCACGTGTCCGCCAGGTCAGCGCCAGGTGTCGCTGACCTGGCGAACACGTCACCTCCGGCGAGCCACGCGGGCGTCTCTGGCGCCGGAGGACTAAAACAGCGAAAATTTTTCACTTATGGGACTAGTTTGCGACAGGCTCTACTTACAGGACTAAAATGATAAGGGGGTCCAGTTACAGGACTAAAAAAACAGTTTACCGTTAGGAGCCTTACATTTTCGTAAAACTACATCTCCAAATCCGCTTCAATTTCTTCTTCAATCTCTTCTTCTTCAATTTCTTCTTCCGTGTTTCACAAATTTTCATGCTTTATATAAAAATAGATGGTAAGTAAAATAAATTAAACCACATATTATAAATTAAACAAATATATCTTTTTAACGCAAATTTAGAAATTCCTATATTCAAATGTATACAATTTAAAGAAATATATGACTTAACTAATAAAAAAAAATATGAAGTTTATTAATTTCAAATATGTCAACAAAAGAAAAGTCTTAAAAAGAATTTAAACATAATAGTGATTATAAAAAAAATTCTTAACAAAATCTCAATAAAGTATAGCATATTATCTAGTATATTATTTAAATAATCATTACTCTCTAATCTTGTAAGCTATCCAATTAGCTATTTCTTCGATAATCATCTTAAAAAATCTATCTTTTTCTGACTTGGTGTCAAGAAAGTCAAATGCTTTCAGACGAATGTCTTCTTTCAAATTTGGGATCTCTTTGATAGCATCTCAAGTTGTATATGTTTATTCTCTTTCTCTAAGAGATTATGAACTCCTTAAAAAATGCTTGTTAGTTTTTTAATGTCTCCTACGAGCTCTTTCTGAAGAATATTTTCAGTAGAACAAGATTTGCTTCACACTGAGCTCTACTTCTTTTGGGTTGACCTCTTCTTTGATTTGAAGCTCAGACACTTCATGTAACTCTGAACATGGTGTAGAACGATATGATGGATCATTTTCAAATAGTCCTACATACATTTCATTTTCAGCATCATAATTCAAATCCTCTATACGTACATTTCTATTTTCATCATCTCCTAATATTCTTGCATTAGTAGCACTACCCAATCCAATAGATTTTTTTTTCCAACAACAACACCATTTCTTACCGCAAGAACCAAGTCCTCATAATCAGAACATTCCCCATAGTGCAAGCACGCATCTTTATTATAATAAATTAATGCTATAATATTATTATAATATGATGTTTAAAAAATTTACCTCTAAGTGCCCATCTCATACTTCATCTGAAGCTGTAAACTTTTTAGTGGTTTTGTCATACCTCAAACCAGAGCTAAACTTCATAAGATTTGAATAGGATATCCAACGGTTTTGAAACCATTTGAGGCGGCTTCGGTAATTGCTATACGTTTTATTACAATGAAGTCTTTCATTAAGAATAAGAAGTATTCTTTTTTCCAATGTTGCTTTGGAAACAAACACCGTTATTATCACGCCATCCCCGAGTCGCAACATCAACAATGAGTTCTAACAATAAATCGCTTTGTTCCTTAGTCCACTGTTCGTATGGTGTTTTTCATTTTGAGCCTTGTTGATAATCCCTCATAATAATATACTATATTAACGATACAAAGTAGCTTATTAAGATATATACATAAATAATTTAATACTTTAATTTGTTTTCTTATAAAACATATAACTAGACACATTGCAAATAAATTGTTAAGTAATTAAATAAAAAATAGATATCTCCTTCTTATAATTTCTACATAATAGACCACATAAAAAATATAGTAAATAGTGTAACAATATTGAATTGAATACGACATAAGATATTTTACAAATATAAAATATATAATTAACAAATTATAAAATATCAAAACAGATTAACATGTGCAGTAAATACAAATGCAACCGATCAACAACATGAAAGCAAAATCAATTTTTTCATGGTTTGATTTTGGTTTTATTATTTATTGAATCATAAATAATTTTCCCTTCAGTTTCAAACCTACAATGGTTTTCGGATTTCAAATACTGAACCGAAATTGATTTTTGCATAGTTCAATTTCAATTTTTATGTTCTCGAAATCGTAAACTGTCGGTTCGAATTGAAATATGTTGTTTAACATTTATTTATTTATTTAGAAAATAAAAATATCTAAATATTACTGGAACACTAGAGAAGTGTGAAGAATGAAAAAAAATCGATGCACCAATCGACACCAAAAGAAGTTAGTGCAATTGACACAAAGAGGAGAAAACAAAATGGTGCACAAAAGCAATGTCAGCAGTAGCGACTGATTATGTAAAATGACAAGCGGCAGCAACGAGTTTATTAGGTTTGTAAACATATTTTATAAGTTACACAAAGCCTTGCGACTCCTCTTTGTGTTCCACCGACCAGCGACGCCGCCTACCGTCGCGCTCAACCCAAGCTACCGCATTCGACATCTGACCAGCGTCTTCCTCTCCATCAGCGATGCAGCCGCATTGCCCAAACCGCTAGCCCCCGTGCCTAGCTACCTCATGCCGTTGTGACCTCGCTTTCCGTGCCTCCAGCCGCTCCGTAAACCGCCGAAGACCACCGACCTAATCTTTAATCCTTGATTGGGTAATATTTCTCATCTCTTTGTTCTAATACTTTTAATTCAATTGTTGGAAAATTTTCACTAGGGCTATTGTGATTAGTGTTTGAGATTGCAAGTTGGATTTGAATTTGTTGAATTCCATGAATTTGATGTGAATTTAGGTTTTAGGATTAGTTCGATTCTAATTCAGTTTTGGTGTATATTGTTTGGGTTGATGCTATTGGTGTTATGAATTGATGCTATTGATAATTGGACGATTGCTCACCATTTGGTAAAGCTGGAATATATGGGTTAGGTAATTCAAATTTTGGAATCTTAGGCAAACCTGTCTCCAGCAGCAGACGAGCGCCCTCTGCTTGCTACCACTTTCCTTTTATGCCAAGAAGTAACATGATGATAAGACAACTATAGCTTCCAAGTGCCATTACTCACTGCTGCTAAACTGAGGTGTATTTTCTTCAAAGAAAAACAATATGTTTACTTTTTCTTGATGCATTGGTTGTTTACAACAATGTGACATTTATAGAAACTTGATGATGAGAGCCCACCGGGGTGTTATGCATTTGTTGTTAGCAAGGATGATGAGTTAGTTCAACCCCCTTATGGCCATTCTTTTCCAATGCATCCGTAATTTATTATTATTTGTTCTACATCTTGGAAGTTTTATTATTATTATTATTATTATTATTATTATTATTATTATTATTATTATTATTATTATTATTATTATTATTATTATTATCTGCTGGTGAATTGATTTAGGAAAATTAATTTCATATACATTTTTTTCATGGATTCAAAAGGGTTGATAAGAAAATCCTTGTGTCTTTGTTGTTTATTTACACATGTTGTTGTTTTTACTTATTCGATCTGCTTAAGATTGTAAATATGATCTTTGCACTGCAGTACAATTGCATCAAATTTATTTGGCTATTTTAGTGGATGTATTACTCATTGCTTAGAAGTTTGTATAGCATCAAAAGATAACTATTCAAAGAGAGCATCTCAGTTGGTAATAATATTGTGACATATTCAGTTAGGTTTTGTAATGAATTATGGATTTCATGACTCATATTCTTCATTTTATTTGTTTATCCTTGCATATGATATGGGTTATGTATATGAGGTTTGTATCTAATTTGGAACAGGAATTTGAGCTAAACTTGAGCAATTTTGATTGAAGTTCCGCTCATGAATTTATTTTACTTTGTTCCAGATTTAATTTGCTTCCGTTTTTTCGCTCTTTGGAAGTGTGGATTTGTGGTGTAGAATATGTTATCGTGTATGAATTAGCTATTATTTACTAAAATTTCACTTTTTAAACATTATTTCTTTGTTATTTTCTCTAAACTCTCTCGATGACTTGTAATGCATGATGCCATGCTTCTGTTCGTCTGGTATATAGGGAGACGTTTCTGCTAAGCAAGAAAGCACTGCCTCGACTGTTTTCTTATGATGTATCAACAAATTCAATTAAAAAAGTGATGTTTTATTCCTGTTAATTATGCATTGTTATCTACCAACAGATTTATTCTATAATCATTACTGGATTTCTACAAGGGCGCAGACATCAATACTTGATTAATCATAGCAAATTTTTTCTTACAGATTTGATTAATCACGGCAGTATGGCTATAATTGACATTATTTCAGGTATGAAAATTATCAAAATCACTAGGAAATATTACTTTCATATAGGTAGTAAAGCAAAAGTGTAATCAAGCTTGTGTTTTGACAATTCAGTTGTGGAGATTGACTTTTCTTCATTTGTTGAAGTAACCATGTCTGAACTTATCGCTAGCTGAAGTCCAACTTATTATTTGTCAATTGGTTGTACAATAGAAATTATTCACTAACTTTATGGATTGCTTGTATTGATGATTTCATAAGTTTCTTCACATTGAGTGTAATGGGTAATCATTATAATGACCTGTTTTTATATCATGAGCTAGGCCAAGTGAAAGGAGCTACATGCATCTATTTCTAATTTGTGGGTCTTTAAGTTTGTTGGTTGATTTATGAAAATCCAATCTACTGCATGGATTTATTTTGTGATTCTTGACAATGAATTGTTTGCTTTTGCATTATTTTGTTTGTGGGAATTTGTCTGCTCAAAATTTATGGAGTTTGGTATTTACCTGTATTGTTTGAACATGTTTGTCTTGGACTTGAGCATAATCAATTTATATTGCTCAGAACTCAGTTGAATGCATTGGAGAATAACATCATGTATATGCTCAAGAATCAAGCCGATTAATTACATCAATAGTTAAAGAAATGGTTCCGTATTTTTTAAGCTAAAACCTTGGCTTGACTATATCTATAAATTACTTTCTTTTAGTTATCAGAAAATATAATATATTTGCTTACGGTAAAGTTTGAGATATCTTGAATACTGAAATGCTACTTAATAATCAATTCAATACTTCGCTCTCATGAGTACATGATATTTAAATCTATGTGCATCACAGGTAGACAGGCTTCAGACGTTGTACAGAAGTTGGGAAGAGGACCCGGATGTTGAGTTTGTAGTTTTGAAGATTGTCTTTTTACCTCCCAAGTCACTTGTATTTTATGTTCTTGTTTTCGCCTAACATATGGTTGGAAAATTTTGAAAGGTAGAGAGACAAGGCATTTGCAGCTGGTGGTGATATTGTGTCCATCTATAATATGCTGAAAGAAGGTAGAATTATAATTTCATTGTCTATTATTCAGTATTGCGATATTTTTTTTTATAGTTGGATTATTCAACTAATGAATGTGTTTGAGTGGTTTCTCCTATATGCATTATAGTCAAGGGCTCCAGTTCGGTAGGATGCTACCTTTGGTTAACTGTTTTATGCCAACACTTTTGGGTTTGGTAATAAAGAGAGGTCATAACTTCTAAGTGAGAATAATTTTGTTGCATTTTTTCTGTTGTCCTCGCCTCTTCTCTTATTCATTCCATCAATTTTGTAAAAAATAATTATAGGTTATGTTTTTGATTAATGCAGGAAATCTAGAAGCTTGCAAGCATTTCTTCTGGATAATATATAGTTTTATATACTTTCTCGGTATGCATTTGAAGCCACATGTGACCATCTCTTAGCTCATGATTGTTTTGTATATTTATTAATGCTGCAGTATCGATCATCCGCTTTAAGATAACCAAAATTTTGTGAGTTGCATTTTGTTTTTGATGATATGCACATGTTGTCTTTATATGTACGTAGGTTATTCCATTAATATAGTAAAGATTTTTTTCACAGCTGCTACCGTTCCGGAGGCTGCGTTAATTCACGAACGATATCTGAAGTGCAAACACTCTGTGAGTTGTCCACATCAAGCCAATCGACTAGACATTCAAGGATGTACGTAACCATTTTTATAACTTTCTATTAGATTATAACTTAACCAACTCGCAAGTAAATTCTTATATAATTTTTCACTATGTTGGCAGCTCGTTCGTCACGCGTAACTGCCTTGTATATTCACTTTGACGCTGCATGGGGCGATGCAGCGTTATTTGTAATTCTATGATAATAACTTTTGTTTGTGGATTGATACTGACTAAGTCCTTTACATAGGTTGAACTTGCATATGTTGTTTCCTTTTATGTGTTTGTTGCTATGCTTTGCCTTTGAATTGTATTTGTTGGTTGTATTGCGAACTAATTATGTTCCTAGAGAGTGCGTACTTTGTGCTACTAATGGTTGTATTGCGAACTAGTTATGTTTTTCGGTTCCGATACTATTTTTTTGTTATTACTAAAAA